TACTTTCGACTTTTCGTAAAAGCTCCTTTATCCACGTCATATTTTTGGACTACGTCGACCGATAGAAAATGTGAGAGAAGTGAGAAACTCTTGAAAATTCTTTACATCGCAACGACTTCCGCAATATGCTGAAGTCGACATTCTCGGCGGAGAGCGAAGCGAGAGAGGTAGAGAAAAATAAAAAGTAGAAAGGCATACGAGGGAGACGAAAAAGAGGCGGAGGACCGCCCGGCGGTTGTTTTAATGAGAGTTAAAGCTCGCGAGTAAATGTCGAATAAATCATTTCGCCGGGGCGCTAAGTGCATCCATCGACCCGAGGGGAGACGCATCGTCGGACAACCCTCTTTATCTGTGCATCGGCGACACGTGCGCATTACACGGCGGGCATAGAGAGACAGTCGCGATATGCGCATTCGTCTGTGTGCACACACAGCCGGCCGCAATAAAATACAGAAAAACAAGCGACGAATGTGAAAAGAGACAGGCGGATGCGCCGGGAGCGATTTCGTGCATCGCGCACGATTAATATGCGTCTGTCGTGCCGACGAACTCGCGAAAAACGAGATTTGCCCCGCGACGCACGGCTCATGATGACAGAACCCGATGCCGATGTGTGCATTACGCGATCCCGATAAAATTGCATATGCGGGGGGTTCCGCCGCGCTTCTCGTTATGCGCGAATATTTTCAAACGAGTGCAATTAACATGCGTGCCCGCGCGACTCCACTCGTTTCGAGACTATTTCAAAATGCTCTCGTCAAAGGAGGCTTTTGCAACAGCCGAATCGGTATTTTGTGCGGAATATGCCCAATTCGTACAATCAACTATTATGCGAGGGGGAGAAAAAAACGCAATTGTCATTGATCAGAATCGCAAAATAAGGTAGAAAAATATGGAAAAATTATCACAGCTTTCGAATGCGAAAGCTGTATAAAAATTCCGAAGGGTGGAGAAAGTTTTGTGTGAAAAATTTCTAAACGTTTTCGACTGGGACAGATGTCGGTAACTAGGGATTTTCACCCTTACACGTCCCGCTCGGCGCATCTTTAATTCGAGCGACTCGTCTCGAGTTGACGCGCGCTCGTGTCGCGGCGCATCTGCTGCGAGTCAAAACACGCGCGGCGTACGGACGGACAGCGTAACGGGCCGTCTCGTTAATTGGCAAACGCTGATGATCGATGCGTAACATTATTCGGCCGCACAACTGTTCCCCGTCGGACCCCCTCCGCGGCCCGCCCCTTCGCGTGGGTGCGCGACGCGGTGTAACCAACCCCTTCCGCCTCGCAATTCCGCCGCGCGCACGCGGTACGACTCGCCCGCGAGTTATTGCTTTCATTAGCCGAACAATGAAACCAATTTGTGACGCGTCTGTCTCCCTCTCGCTTCCCCCCCTAACTCTTCATGTCGCTTTCGCTCCATCTCTCTCCTTCTATTCCTCTGTCTCCCTTTCTCTCTCTGTCTTATTTGACATCACGACAGACTATGTTCCTGCATCGACGACAGGTCGTCTCTCTGTCTTTCATTGTTCGGCGCGAGACGCATCGGGATGACGATTCTGTCCCGTGCAGCCTCATTCAAGAGATCAGATTTAAGAGGATGTGCGCGCATATAAAATCAAAGTCTCGTTTTGTTTTCTCCGTCCGCGCGTGTGATTGGCTCCCACCGACACGTTTCGAGATGCTATTCTTCAAACAAGGTCGACGTGATGTAGTGGAGCACCATTTGTCTTCCTTCTGAGACTGTTTGCTATACCAATCTTTTTTCCGTGCTCGAACAGATAAATTAATAAATCAAATCTTAAATGAAATCTTCACCGAGTCAGATTGAATATAAATTATTAATAAAGACCTATAACAAACTGTGATATTTCTAGAGCATGCCTCTCGCTATCTTACTTTGTGCATTTGCTTAATTCTCCGTTCGCTGGATACATGTTAAATTTGCGAGTCGCCAGAATGCGATGTATATTATGCAGCTACTTAAATATTCGCTTGTTGCAAAATGTTTCAGACATCGGTTTAATCTGCGTTCATCATTCTCGCTCTACTTATTTGCCGTAATCGCAGTTAGTTATATTCATTCGCCTACTCTCGCGTCGTTACTATCGGCTTTAAAATCAATATTGCTACCTATAGAATTCAAGACTCACTCTGACTCGACGGTTTCGACGTATCAATAACATTTTTTGTTACGCACGTATCGAATACTGCTTTTCTTCCCCTCTCTCGCTCCTTTTTTAATACAATGTTTGCTTAGTTAGATCGTACATTTATTTTTTACGCACAATCACTCTCTCATTTCTCTAATCAATATTGACTAATTTACTATTGTAAGGCGTTGTAACTCCGAAAGGAACAAGCAATAAATCTTATCTACTCTGTATGTATTTCTTTACGAATTCAAAGCCTTTTTTCTGTAGTTTCGGAATCATTCTTCTTCTTTCCTTCAATCTTTACGATCTTTAATCGTAATATTGTATTCCGTTCCCGTGCGTCTCCTCTTTCTGCCACGATTATGTTCTCTCGGAATCGTGGGTGGATTGCGATTATGTTTGTTTCCTCGTTTGCGAGCGAGATTCCATTTGGCTAATGAATACGAAACGTGATACGCGCATGGCGATTGATTATTCCCTAATTGCGCCCGAACTGGTGAGCAGTAATCTGAGCTCGGCACATTTCGAACTGTAATTTTCCGTTTTGCAATTACGGCAAATTATCCATCTCGTGAAATTCTACGCCCGTGTGTATCCTTTCTGTGATTTCGTTACGACGGACATGTGAGACCGACTGCGTGTGTCCACCAAAGCGTGAAAATGGCAATCCTGTCGGTAGTAACGGCACCGATGCGACGAATGCAACAAAGGTATTCCGTGATATTTAATCATACGCCGATGCATTTATACCACCACTGTATTTCTCTTAATCTTGTTGTACCTTTGCACAGTTTTAATCAGTATTAATCAGTTTGAATCAAGCTCCGGGCATAAATGTTTAATGTATTTTCATTTTGTTTGTTTAAAAATTTGGTAAATGAAAAATGTTCTACGAGTTATAAATGTCAGATTTTAGTAGAGTGTAATATAAAATATAGACAATGATTCTCTTGTAACATAACAAATGTGTATTTCTTTACTTTAAGATGTTTTAGGTCCGCTTTGCAATTATTGTAATTTAATGCAATGTAGAATTCTCTCTCTTGTATATCTACTCGATAAAAACCGCAGAAAGACACATTAAAATTCCTTCGAGCAACCATGAAAAAGAATGAAAAAAGTAGCAAGATAAAATGCAAGCAATTATAAGTAATGAAGCGTCTAAAAATAATTACGAGGAACAACACGTTGAAAAAGAAAAGTTAATATTCTCGATTATTTATGAATTATAATACAAGAATACGAGTGGTGCAGCCCGATTGCAATTAAGCATCTATGCGAGTTCTTGTCGTTGCAATTTCACACGTGGTTATTATCGCGGGATTTATTAATCGTCGTCATTACACGCAAGCGCTGCGAGGAATCGCCCTAATCGCCTACTCGCCCGACGACGGAGCCGCGATGTGTTTCGCCGCGAAGCATAACCGTCGGCGCGCGAAACGCGAATCTCTGACCTCTGAAGTTTATTGCCCGGCCGGGGCAATAAAGTTTTTATTTCGCGACTCTGTTGACCATATTGCGGTAGATCGCACAATAATGTCTTGCGGGGCTCTCCCGCAGGAAACAGGTGCCCGTGTAGGTGTGAAGGACGTCTAAGAGCGGTCGAGAACTCCCCTGGGGACCGGAGCGAGTATATTAGATCGCAGAGTTTAATGCGCTGTACAGGGAATACGATATTTATTAGCGTACGTGAAGATCTATACACGGTGTGTCGTGAGATTCGCATCGAGTTTCGGCAAATAGCGCGTAATAAAGTCGGAGATAATATTAAATCACAATGTTCGTCATTGGGCGTAGAGGAAAAATGACCTACCTAAACGATCAACGCTTGTTCGCCGCGATTTCAGCGACAAAGGCGCGGAAAGTATATTGCGCGGTCACCGTCTGCAGCCAAGACTCGAGAAGAGTCGCGTTTGTATTGTCGCATCAGATGTAATGAACAATGTAATGGGCTTTCACGCGCCGAACTTTATTGCCTAAGAAAGTAATAAAGCTTTTATTTCGCGAGTCGCTTGTTGTGCACAGGTGCCGACGCGCGAGACTCGGAAAGCAATCTAGGCTCCCCGGGGGGAAAGCGACTGCCGAAGGATGAGTGAGTATATTAGACCGCAGGGTCTAATACGTTATAAGCCGTACGTATTTACTTGCCCTTGCGTCCCCTTTCCCTATGTACGCCGCTATATGCCACGTGTCCTGCGGGAGCTCCCGAACCTGATCAGATCCTGATCGAACTGTAATTTGGATAACGTTCATAAATCTGCTCGCTTCCGCCTGAATATACGCAGAGGATCGTGGAAGTTCGTCGGATGGATATTTGTTCAATTATCTTTTAACGGCTTTCTGAAATAGTCGGTATATTTTATACTCTCGAATGCTCAGATGTGGGTTTGCGAAGGCAAAGGATTCCCTCGAAAGGAATGGAGGTTCTTCTTCGAAGGGAGGAGTCAAAGGATGAGTGAGGATATTAGACCGCTGGATTCGCTGCGCTACATGCAGAATGCAGCTGTGTGTGTACGCGCGGGCCCGTGTGTATACTGCCGAATATGCGACCGCGTGTTTACATGAGCCTGCGTAATATACGTATACGACTGGAATTAATTAAATCTGATCTCGTGCGCGCGATATTCGGGAAACCGATCTCCCTGATCGTTGTAATAGTTTACGGTGTTCCAAAGCGTATAAACGTGTAAACCAAAATCACATCACATCGATACACATCACATCAAAGATGTCAAAACTAATAAAATTATTTGAGTAAAATCTTGTACAAAATTACCTGTGCAAACGGCTGATTTAAGCAGAATTCTTTATGCGCAGTAAAACAATTCGGTTCGAAATTTTTTTCCAGATGCCCAGCTGCTGGAGTGAATGCGTGAAGGAAGCAAGGGACGTCTGAAAGGAGTTGAGAATCGTCGGAGGAGGGAGGAGTCGAAGGACGAGTGAGTATATTAGACCGCAGGTCCTAATATGTTATAAAGCATACGTACGCGCGCTCCGTGTTTGTCCCCCTTCCTACGCGTCTAGGCGCACATAGGCCAGGCTACATACATAGTATTTGCCGCACACACGCACGCCGATCGGTGTGATGAGTTATATATATATGCGCCGCACATACTCAGGATAATAAATATCCTTCGTCCGAGTCAGCATCGGCTCGCTTGATCTTTCATAGCCGCTCGTAAAGACCCCTTGGGGTGGGCCGTAAAATTTGTCGGGTATTTGAAATATCTTCGAGTCCTTCCCGAAAACTTTCCGGCCAAGGATTCCTCTCCTTGATTCCCTCTTGTGGCGCGCGGAAATCCCGCGAATCTGCGCCAAGTTTCGTGCCACTTCCGCAGCGTGTAACGATGCGATAATGATACACGGTGAGTCAGATTTCGCGTACATCTTTTCATATTCTTGAATCAATTTGATGAAAGACCAAATTTATTTCTATTGTTAGCAAAAATCAAAGTTTACAAATTTTTAACAAAAATGTAGAGAGAATTTCAACTTTAAGAACGAAGAACGAATCAATTTCAATTTTAGACTTTAGTGAAATTTTAACAAAGATGCTTAAAATTTAATGTTAAACGAATAATGGCAAAATTGATATAAAATTTAATTAAATTAAATTTCCTGAGAAACAATCGTCTTTAATTAATAAAATAAATAAACGAGAAAAAGCCTGAGACACCCTGTATATCGAGAAATATCACGAACTTCTCTCTGGTCCTTTGAGAGAATTGCGACAATCAGAGAAACTTACGAAAGTTCGGGCAACAGCGTGCGGAGAAATACTCTTGGGAAAATTGCGGATGGTTTATAGTTATAATAATATCGTTCAGTTTCTGTTGATTGAAAGATATTGATACGTAGAAAATAAACGAAAATATCGAGAGTAAATAATTTGAGAATTTATCTCTCGCAGATAAAAGAGTGAGAAAATGCAATGAAGAATTAGTGACATAATTTTCTTTGAGAGACAAAGATATTGATATTTATAAAATCTCCATTTTATTAATTTTTTAATTAAAGTTATAGTTATGTACGAGCAGTTACACTGAGTTTTTGAAAATACATTACTTATGAAAGAAATACATATTTATACGAAAAATCAGCATTGCCTTCTTTAGACGTGCGATTATCGATAGAAGTTTCTCCTTAAAAGGAGAAGGAGGTTTTCTTCCCTTTCGAAGTATCATCTTGAGAATCGAATCCATTCCTCTTCGTCGGGACAGACGAGAAGTGGTCGCAGGGGTAAAATCTGGATGCGTAAGGGCGATCGCGCTGAGAAATTAGCGAAAACGGTGCGCAAGCTACTCGCAGAACGTGGGATGGAAAGGGACGTTCTGACGAGAGCGCAGATTTGTCCCCGGGGGGTACTTACGAAGGGGAGACCGGCAAATTTTGACCCTCCAATCGCCCCGCTACGAGATCCCGAATCTCCGGCTACCACGCCCGAGAACATCGCACCGAGTCGTGATTTCGATAGACTGGGAAGAGCGATGGGCGATTACGTGATCGGATTACGTGGACGCTCCATGTTCGACTACACCGTCGACTGAGGTACACGACCGGAAGGTACGTGATGGAAGAAAGTCAAACGTCGTCACTGTTGTCGCGCGACATGTGCGGAAACAAGCACAAGAGTGGATGTTAAAAAAAATCTAGAAAAAAAACTTGTCGAAAACCCGATTCAGGCAGGAATTCATGTCAACCGAGTACTTTATGATATTTTACAAATACCGTAAATAAAAAAAAAAGTAATAATAAAGAAGTTTTAAGATCGAAAGGCTATCATCCTTTCTTCGCTTTGCTATTCTTTTTGTTCGATTCTCTTTGGATTGTCACTGATATAATCGGAAATCCTACAAAGCGGACGACATTCCTGTCTGATTGCGTTTTTCACTTGAATGGAACCGTGGAACACTATGAGAGCCTAGAGAATGTAGAGAGGAACCATAATTCTAAAGCGACCGTATTATCTCGACAGATTATCGGCTCCGGTGTCCGGTAGTTCTAATCGCGACAAATCTGTCGTCAGTCCGACATCCACACCTCCACTTCCGCAAGATTACTATCTCATTTCGTTAGCTAGCGGCGCCTCATTATCGCCGGATATAAATCTGTCATTCCCGTCGAATCGAGCACCCCTGAATTCCGACCGCGTTCCCGATCGACTACCTGCTTTTTCCAATTTCTAAACTCCTAAATTATCCTTTCACTTTCACTATAATTTTCTAAAGAAAGCAACAATTTTTTATCAAGAGCAAATTATCATCAGAGGTTTTCATATTTTTTTTGTGCAACCTTATTCTATTTTGTTAAAGAAAATGTAAATTATTTCAATTTTGGAATTGTATGTATAAAAATTAATTAAGAATTGTTTCTATTATAAAATTATTTATCGGATAGTGACAATTTAATTAATTGGAAAGATATAGTAATTGTTAACCATGTCTTCACCATGTTGCAAATTATTCATTAATTTAGAGTCTTCATCATGTTGCAAATTATTCATCAATTGATGCTTCTGTCATTCACATAACACGCATCTCACAAATAATATCTCGTTTATACTAAATCTATCAATTATCATAAATCAATAGTTTGCGCATTCGTACTATTCGTGGAATATCGTCGCGTCTATATTTTTCGTATTTTTTTTAAATCGTGATAAAAAAGACATTTTTGACACTGTTCGCTACCAAATAAAAAAATGTCAACAAACAGTAATTTCTATCTAAATCACCAAATTTTCACCAAATTTATACTACAAATTTTTTTCATAGAGCACATACTTCACTCGACAGTGGAATATCGCAACCATGCATAGGTGTGTTTGTAAATACAAACGACGGGTAACATACGATGCCCGTAAATTTATCGGAGCGTTTGCGTCGTAAATTTTCAGAGTAAACGCGGTCCATCATCCCGATCTGGCTTGCGCGCAACTGCGCGGGCGCTTATGGTCGCAATTCGCACCTACCAATTGGACGGAAACTCAAGAGACAAACTGCCTCGACTGCAATTAAGAGCCTCTCGGATGGCACTGCGCTCGTGCCATCAGCGTGTTTACTGTCTTCGTGACAACATTATTAATTTCAATTATCGCGCACTTGATCCACACGGCGATTCTATAGTAATTTATTATATATTAAGTTCTAATTTTGCACGTCACGATTTAAATGTTTCATCGGGAAACGTTTTACAATTATTGAACATATACATATGACATTGCCGGAAGCGGAATATACAATATGATGAAAAATAATTTATACCATTATATCCGCAAATTGTGCGTCGGCAAATTTCACAAGATTCGCCGTCTCGGTGAATTAATTCGGGCGCGGCCGAAGACGCTTTCGACGGGGGATGCGCAAGAAACAAAAACAAAGAAAAGGAAGCGAGATGTAAAATCTGTTTGCATTATATCATCTCGGGGATAGGTACGGGTCTGATCAGGCAGTTACGAGTTTTGCGAGCCTTCGTTGATTCATACACACACACGCGCGCGCGGACGACTGTTACACGACGACTCGACGCCCGAGTAGCTACGTTCGAGTGTGGTGGCCGCATTTACACAGTAAATATATCAATGAATTTACGATGCGCGCTGATCCCTAATGGCCTCACAAACAGATCTTCGTCGGGGAATGCGCTTTCATCCCGTGCTTTCGCTCTCATCGCACGACGACGGCGGGTTCAAGGCTCCTCTCGGAATATCGGGCATCGAGTGAGATTATGGCGGACGATCGAATAACGTTGTCGGATGAAAGCTCATCACTCTTTCAATCCGCGTGAAATCGCGTGTTCCCGCGTGAACCTGGTTTTCGATCGGGCGCAAGGGACATTTCATTCGCGGAGGTGATGCGGAAAATTCGGGATGCGATCCGGCCGAATGAAGCAGGATAGCATTTTAATTGGACGTATTTCAGTGGTATCAGCGATTTTAAATGCAAACTAATTGACCTATCTGCCCGGTCTTCTGCTGTCCCGACAATCGCGCGTGAGTGACATGGATTTACCGCATCGCATTTTTTCGCGGCGCGAACAAAAGCACGGAAAACTACATGCATCGATTCGCTTGAATCTGGAAGCTCGAGATAGAAATAAAAACGTACATTTCGAGGTTCTGTTGCGAGCAAAATGCAAATATTTCAGCCGTAGATTTAATTTTATTCATGGGATATAAACAAAAACATTTTTACGAATAATTTTTATGAAAGCTGAAACATATTCTCACATATTACTGCGCTGACTTGAGAGTTTTAGAGGTAACAGATATAATTTGATTTATCCTATATAATTGACTTTTGCGTTTTACCGTTCTGACAATTTACAATGATACCATTGTGATAATAATTACTTGAAAAATATTTGGTAGCTACTGCAAAATATGTAACATTAATACCCTTCAATATCCTCGTACGATAACCATATACCGTGATATCCGTAACAATATTTTCCTTATGAAAGCATGTTCTTAAATTTATTACAGCACAAATACCCTTCCTGTAACGATAAACATCGTTAGGCTCCCATTGTTTGCTCACCTGGAATCTAACGCACTGAAAGACTCTCCCTTCTCTTCCACATAAGAATTAGGGCACTGCAGAATTGAAATATGTAACAGAAGTGTTCACGCGCTGCGTGTACCAGATCTCTCTGCATCCGGAACGAACGCAAAGGTGCATTAAATCCGTAATCTCGAAATCACCGTTCGTTTCATTTCCTCCATTTTCTACGGTCGATGCGTCTGATTTTTCATCAACGAATAGCCCGCTACGCCCACTTTTATTTGTATACAACGTGGGATGCGAAGCGCCGATATTTTATTTTTTGAATTTCGCTCGCTCCGCTCCCCCGGTAGCGGTAGCGTGAGGATGCCGGGGGAACGGAAAAAGGAGCTACAAGCGCAAAGCCGAAGCAGCATTAGCTTTTAGCACGCC